TTTCATTTATTTTCTCAGTGTTCCAGTGGGGGACAAGAATATCACTTACCGAGGTAATATATTGGCTCCAGAGAATATTCTCATGATGTCGATAATAAAAAGTAGAAACTGCTTACGATCTGAGCAAGTGATCAGTTGCTTCATCACTATAATACCATGAATGGCGAACTCCCTAGTCTAAGAATTGAGATCGAAATGGATTTCAAGATAATTATAACCATTCAAACACAAAACACACATGGAAGGAAATTATAACATATTTGTTCCATGATGAAGGCATCAGGAGAAGGCGCCCTATTACACATAAATTGAAACAAGCAAACTGTCTCAATATGATAAATAGGCGAACACTCCACTGTGGTATTCTATACCATAAATTGATAAATAGCTGTATGCCGGAATACCTGTATAAGAAAATTAGATTCCGTACCGATGTTCATAATTTGAATATAAGATCCAAAGGAAATCTCACACCTTCCTCCCACAAAACTGCTATTTTCACCAGATTCTTTTTATACAATATAGTGAAGTTTATCAATTCTATTCCTCTAACATTAAGAACTCTCTCTAGCTCCAATCTCCGAAAGGAATACAAACAATTACTCCTCGCCCTCTAGCATGCAACCTCTGTTTGCATTGCTGAACTTCGCCCTTTCAGTTGTACACCTTCAATATGAAGCATAATTGTATATGATTTGTATTAGCAATTGAATGAAGTATTTTATTATTAATATTATATGTATGTATGATTCCATGCCCAAACGCATATATTTGAAAGCTTCATTTCTAAAATTGTGCTTCAGGCAGTTTATTTTCCGATTCAAATCAATTTCCTATACAAAAGTTGAGGTATAGGGTCCCAATGATTTAATATATAGAGACATTTTCACTATTTCCTAAACGGTGAGAGATAGAAAGTTGATTATATCATTATCAAACAAAAGTTCCGTAATTTTTACATTTTCGATGTGGCGATGTGCAATTTCAGGAAATGTCAGCAGTTCCTGAAATATTTTGAAAAAACTGAAATTCAATTATTTGGATTTCATTCATTATATTGGTTAAGATCAGAGGAAAAATATTGAAACTTGGGTGAACAGGTAATCCATCATGACAAAGAAGTTGGAATTGTCAGAGATTTGCCATGCATTTTTTTTTCCTTATGGGCACAATAAAGCTGAAAATTTCATTCACAGCCATGTATAACATGTTGACATTGTCACATGAAGCAGTGCCAGAAAACTGTTAAGCTTTTCAAATGTTGGCCATAAGAAAACAAAATATCAGTCGTCAGGACTACAAGGATCAAATACCTCTCCTTAGCCATGTATAAGACGCTACAACGCTACATTTTTATGCATCGAAAGGGCGGAAAAGGTACAAAAAAACCAAGGATACAGATTTTTTGTTAAAAAATCAAGATACATCCGCCTTGAATTAACTTGTCTCAAGCATCATATACCGGGTATCCCGAAATTAGCCTGCCAAATTTCACCAGCGGCTTCTACGACAAAAATTGGAGGAAAAGTTTCAATGAACATCATGAGTCTCCTAGGAGAGTTACGACCCCCTGATGAAAGGGGGCTCCTGAAGATGATATTTCACGAATATTTTCAGAGCGCGTAAGGATTTCTGGAAATGTGTTTGATTTTGAGGGTTTCAAGGAGAATTAGGTTTTTATCACTTTAACCAGCTTTAATCGCCAAAATGTAGAGAATTAGGGTCGAAATTACGATCATCATTGATTTAATGATTGGAAAATACGACATGGGAGAATTTTCTTCAGATTCATTTGCAATAATGGGAATGTGTTCTTCTCTAAAGTAGTTCGTTAATTGGGTTACACTGACTAGTCGTACTTATGCATCATTCATTTTATATTGGTCTATCCATGTATGCAAATAGCATTTAAGCTAATTATTCATCATTTGAAATTATCAGAAATACTTTTCCGATAATTGAGGTCAGCACTCTCAAAAACGCTAACTCTTGAATGTTACACAGTGAAAAAACGCTTCGAGTTAAATTCGCAGAGTATGTTTTTAGTGTTGAAGTACTCTGTCAAACTCCTTATTAGCACCAAAACACATAGTAGTGTTAATTTGAACAATGCAGGAGCAATTTGACATTCAGGCAGAGTGAATAATTCAATCAATTTCCGGTGGATTCGACAATGTTTATAGTGTGAAATCTACTCCCTACTATTATATTCCAACTGTCAACTTTTGTGACTATATCTGCTAATTCGGTCATTGAATTTCACTCTGAAGTGATGACATTGACACTAGCTCGGGCCTTGAGTGGAATGTTCACTTTCGAAATTAATTCTTTCAACTCGATTTTTGTGTTTATTCAATATATTTTGAGTAAGTTCAAATGTGCTTACATTGAAAGTGTACATTAATAGAATTGAAAGAATCACACTATATAATACTAAACAATAGTTAAATCATCTACTGTGAAGCTTGATGGTCCTCCTGGGAACAGGTATAGTGTTCAATTTCACTCTATTTTTTTGACTGTGTATTTATACCGACAAGCACCATATCTATTATATTTCTCTACAAGCAATAAGAGCTCAACCACATAGCAAGAATTAACTTCCGTAGGGGTTTACTGGGATTTTTGAGGACCCAGCTCGGGGCCCAGCCTTCGTTTATACCCACTTTCTTCATGTCATGAAATATCCTGGACTCCAATTATTATTACAAAAATGTACGAAGCTCTGGGGAGAAAATGGTTTTTAGTACAACGAAATAACGGAATGAAATGTTTCACCTAAATAGGCTCATTTGAACGATTTAAACACTGGATTTTTGTTGTGTTTATACAAGGATTCATGGGAAAATATATTGATAATATCTAAACAATTCATACATAAGTACTTCCACTTCGGGTTATGGATGGTCTTAGATGGATAACGCATGTTTTTAATTGATTCAATAAAATCTCTCAATAAGTTGCGGAATAAAAAATATATTGTTTCAATCTCCTCGTTACTTTCGTAACATTTTTTGTTTTGGTTTTGATACTGAATGATACTCTGCATGTGGAGTTCTTCGAAATGAAATGAAATATATTAATTGGATAAACGATATATTTTCTTCTTTATTCACGTGAAAATGATTATTTTTTGTCACCCTCCTACCTACTCAATATTCTGCCATATTGATAAAATTTGTTGAAGTAGCGAGATATTCTCTCGTCGATAAAGGACAAAATATTTCACTGATTCAATGAATCTTTCTCCATGCATTTCTCCATGCATCCTACCAATTATCTGCTATACCTATTCAAAAACGTCCATGGTCATTTCACAAAAAATGATAAGTGTTGCACCTTTGTTTGATGAATACACAGAAAGAGAATAATGTATTATAGTAGCTTCGAACGATTGGAGATCGAGATCTCTAATGAAAATAAATGAAATATTCAATTCTCATTATAGCTTCAACATTTTGCGATTTCCACATAAATCATTTTTATTGTTTTGAAATTCCTAACATTCTGTTAGAAATATTCCTTACCTTTGAAAACATCCTGATGTTTACTGCAAGTTGTATATATTGGTTAGAAAATAATCGGGAGAAGCTATTCGGTTGAATAGTACTCGAAAATATTTAAATAATAATGAATCGCGTTTTATTCACTTTATTGGATGTTATGTCAAGCTGGGAATTTCCATTGAAAAATACAATAAAAGTCTAATTACTGCTTCGCGCTAGAACCATATACAACCAATTCCATTTTATTGAGCTTCATTTTCCACCAGCCGTTCATTTTACGCCCAGCAAATCCAAAACAATGAAATATGCAACTGGTCATCCTTTAATTTCCTTCTGTCGGGATGTTTTCAATTTTCATCGAAATTAAATCTGATAAGGGCCTTCAGCGTAAATCATTCGATTTCGGAGCGAGCTTATAAAACGCAGTTGCCATGTTTTCTGGATGAAATATAGATTTTGAAGGAGGCTCCCATATTTACAGCTTTATGAATATGATATCATAAATCAGTCGTCATATGCGAAATAGACAGTGTGATATCGTATATTCTGATTTGTGTCAATGAGGTAGATCATAAATTTTCTCAAATGGCTCCGGAAATTTATCAGGAAAAGGAAGATAATCAGTTTGGCTCTGCTTCCTGGATGATATTTTCCTTGTAGAGACTCATTTATTCTGAAAACAAATAGGTTACATGCACTCTGGACAAAACATATTCTCACATAATAAGAAATTTCTAATTCACTAGGTATTTAAGACATATAGTGTGAGTAAATACAGAAAGCTCAAACTCATTTCCACACAATGTTCACACATTGGTAGATTTCGGGAAGAAAACAAATCTCTCGAAATCTATGCATCGACTCGTATAAACGAATACTAATACAAGTGATTCTTTCCTATATGTCCATCGATTTCGAATTAGCCAGGTCACACTAGACACCTAAAGACCGGTTTCGAGCTCTTTGACTCTTTGACTCAGTATTCTGCGTGGTATTAGCCAGAAGAGTATTTATTTTTCTCCTGAAATCTACCACTGTTGTTCATTTCATGAACATTATATTCAACATTTCATTCCACTTTCTTCAATAACAACACCAAATACAAATTTTAGTCGGTGCGACCTAATTGTTTTTATATAACTGAATTGTGTAGGTCCAGACACAATAAATTAGCCAAATGCTAAGAGCCACTTACCTGTTACAACAATTCTCGGTATACCTGAAAAATGGAATCTTTTCGAAAATATACTCTTGAAACTTTTTTAGTTATAAGTAATAGTGCTAGTCCGTTTCTGATGCTATCCTAAAATTGTTCGATCAATAAATCACATACGTATAGGTACATAAGTACTAGTTCATAGTTTCTTTTGAGCGTCTAAGGAATAAAATATGTGGAATGAACTTTCGCTATTATTTTCATGTATGCTGCACAATTGGCCATTTCCTTGAAATATAGCCTATATAATTTTGAGTTGAAAACTCGATTTTTTACAGGTTGGGGTCAATGGAGTGAGTGGTCTTCCTGTAGCGAATCATGTTCTTCAGGTATTCAGCAAAGGATACGATATTGTCGTTTGACTGAATGTCCTGGATTCAATGTAGAACAGAGGCATTGCAATCTCTTTGGGTACGTATCAATGAATCATTCGTATTAGACTCATTTAAAACATTTATTATCACTATCCTATTACTGTCACGCCTATCATCATTATCAAAATAATTTAGTGAACTCAAGAACTGAGGAAAAATTAGTTTTCTCTACTCTACATCAGCTCAATATGAATTCTGATGAATATTCAGTGAATTCAGTCAGAATATGTTCAGAATGGAATCAAAAAATCAGAACCCCTTCATGGAGCTGTATCTTAACGTGGGATGCTCCAATGAAGTTCCTTCATATGAAAGATCCTATCTTTTTTTCGATGATGAATCACCCCCTTGGATGTTTCACATTCATTTAGTTACACCCTGTATAATTGAATCCTTAATGAGAGTGGACGATGGTAATGGTAGTTTGAAATTGTTACTTTGGCGGGTGACGTACCTACTCTTTGTAAAAAAAAATTGTTTCTGTTTATTTATGAGACACACTGTTTCGAGTAAAATATTGAAACTACCGTGAGTAGTTGTGTTGCTTGATGTGAAGTATTTCACGAATCGCGAAATTTTAGTTTACAGAGGTATCTCAAGGCTCGTTTTTGTAAAACAAAGACATACTTTGGAGCACATTACCACTGCACACTCCCCAAAATGGGATACCGTACCGAAAATGAGACTCTACCAAGGAGTAGTATACTGTCTTTGCGGTTGAGTATCCTAGTTCATTCACTGAAATATCCACAGCATAACAACCAGAAGACAATTTCTTATTCAATTTTCTCACATCTTCCTTGAATTTAAGACCGTTGTCAATGTATAGTCCTAGAAATTAAGAGCACACACTGTCTTCAATAATCTGGTGATTCAGATGAATATCAGCAATTGAACATTTGAAAGGCACTATCTTGGTTTTTAATATGTTGAAGGACAGAAGGTTCGAGTCGCACCACTCTTCGACTCTTATTACATACCTATGTCTGAATTGAGAAGGAAACCAATATTAGGGAAAATATGATATGTGTTAACTGGGCCCGCCCTGTTCCAGTTGCGAGGAAGTCGTCAACCCGCTGGCGCTAGAGGGGCGGCAGTTCTTCCACCCTTCGAAGGACCGGTGGCGGCCGGTGCCGGACCGGCCGACGGCTTGGCGGCTGCGGCCCAACTCCTACATTTGGGTGCCGTCGGCGCAGATCTTCCGGAGGTTTCCCGGAGAGTTCGTTCTCTTCGTCACCGTCAGGGTGCATAATGTGAGTGACAAATTGACATGGTTCAACAGCCGGCTGCATATTTCGACCGTCATCGGATAAGGGAATGATAATAGTTCCAAAGGCATGTAATAGTAATTGTTCTACGAAAGATACCATAACGCATCTCTCAACATTCCGCACAGCAGTGGATTCACCGGTACGCTTAGTATGCTTAAGCTTGTGGCCCCGACCCTTGTCAGTGCCCCGCGGGGCCCTGGTATTGCATCATATTTGTTTGTATCAATGAAATAATGACGAAAATTAATCCCCCCATTGGGCAATACTTATATTTTGTTGCAAATTATATATATGGTCCTGCCGATGTGATAGGGACAGTATTGCTATTTCGTAAACGGTATATATAAGAGATTGAAAAATTTATCGAACTTTCTCAACTGAATAAAATAAAAATCAATGATGTTCACTATTTATTTCTAATATTTCAGGATCGGCTGATTTTTTTCTCAAATTGCAGAACGTTCAACGTTTAGGAATTCTGGCAATACTGTCTCTATCCCTGAACAGTGCAGATATGGCTTGCCGTGTTTCTCAATTCAAGGATACTCCTTTGAACTCATTTTTAACACCACCAGTGACCAGTTGCGAAGCAGAGGGTTCATTTCCAGAATTATCAATAATTATAATCAAATATAGGACTGTAACTTATGCCAAAAAAAGATTACAAGCACTGGGAATGCTTTCTATCGAAAGTGATTTGATAAGATGTTTGAATCATGGAAGAATTCGCAGATATAACAACCAGAAAATGGAGAGTGATATCGTAATATACTCTCAGTAACTTTCAATGGTTTAGTTCTTGTATTAACTCGAAAACATTCTATTTCGTTGGTAGATGATCCTAGTCATTGATACTGTTACGTTTATTTCATGTGGTTTATACTTTTCCATCTGTTTTTTATTTTTTCTATTCTATATCCATAATTATATATTTTTGGTGTTTTATATCCTATACATTTTTATCATCCATAAACAAAATCAAGTTCAGCAGGTATGGAGCAAACACAAACGAACAGGCTTATAGTCTACTCTTAATTCGAAAAATTGACTGGGTTACCATGGTAACGTCTATTCCATCAATGATATTCAATGCAGATGTAATATACCGGTCGTGCATTAAATATATCTCGGGCTTGCTTTAATGGACCTAGGCGTGTTAATACTTATATACACTTCGTAAAAACCTATTTTTTGCGCCCCTTGATACATCACAATATGTATTTCCCACTATATGTTGGGTAATTGATGAAAAAATTGAATCATCTAGTCTCAACAAACGAACCTGATTTTTCTGATCTGATGAACAATACAGTTTCTTTACTTTTAGTGGCGACAATTTATAATTTAAAACGAGTCGACCAAATTTCGAGAATCTTCATTTCGAGTTTTCTTTGCCATGGAATATTATGATTAATCACCAAAATAACATGCATTCCTATGGAAAATTCAATATTCCTACTACCGATTTCAAATCATGTCCCAAGTTTCTGTAATATAATTTATACCCAGTAATCACTACATGAGTGCAATATGCGGATGATTTGTGTGAGTTGATACACTTGGTGAATCTCATATCATTGGCAATTAGATATTCGCAAGGAACTCAAAAAACTTGTATAAACGCACAAGGTTCTCTCAAAATAGTGGATTTTGATTTTTAGTCAAGTCTTTTTTTCTTTAGTCCGTCAAAGCCTACTTCACATCCTCAATACAAAAATAACTATTACGTGAAATGGAGTCGTCGGTTGATGTCTGCCATTCTAATTACTATGTCCAAAGACTGAGTCATTTCATTTGTTATTCGCATCAAATTTGGTTAGTACCAGCATCAATTCCACCAACCTTGATCTGATTGTTGCAGGACACAATGGGCACGGTGTTCAGCCTGCGATCGAGACGTCGCCAGGACACGTATCTGTCCCTGGAAGTTGCAGGACCCGATCTGAAAGTTATACACGCAGCAGCGAACGGCACCGATGTCGTCAGGATACCAGCCAGCCTGGATGACGGACACTGGCACCAGATTGCCATCAGGTTGGTGTATGTCTCTGGTGCATGCAAGAAGTGAAGTTGAACACCGCTCAAATCTCATTTTCTGATTGCTTGTTCATTCATTCATTCATTTATAGACCGAAAGATACCCAGCAAACATATTGATAAGGAGCATTAATGGCCTTATATATTTTCCTCATATCTCACATCATTGGCCCAGTAAATGGTCCCATATACGGGAATGTGTATATTCTCTCAACTGTGTCAGTACAGTGCGGCCGGCAGCTGGTCCCAGTGCTGGGTATCCAGCAATCATATTCAGTTCCCCGGCAAAAGGCCAGTAAAACATAATCGACACATTGAGTTTCCCATAGCAAACCCAGCACATACTTGACTGATGGGACTGTAATGGCCAATTATCGACATTGGTTATTACTATCGAGTCAGGAGTCCACAATTATGTTTGGCAAAAAAAACTATTGGGGTTTGGAACTAATCGATTACTCATACTAGTGATTCTATAATAGAAACGCAAGTGAAATGAGTATAAAGTAACTCACGTGGACAAAAAAAGAGCAACCAACCGCAGCGATGCGAGAAAATATACAGGTTGATTCGAAATTAGGCGGGGCGAATTTCTCGCATAAAAATCAGGCAAAAAATTTCTATTTATAAGGGTCCAAAAATGCTTCCTGAGGGAGCTACGCTCCTTTGAATAGGACACCTAAAAGACGAATTTTTCTCTATTACTTCAAAATCCTCCACAATGAATTTTCGAAAATTGGTGTATGATGGCATGAAAATCTCTAGAATATTATAATTTTCAATCGAAATCACAATAACCTGAATATAAAAAGAAGAAGGGACATTTTTACACTTACCATCCCCCGCATGTGAGGCACCTGCATAAAATTATGCAATTTCGAATTGAGAGTCTCATTACCAATCAAATTCATGCCGTACACCAATTTTCGGAGATTTATTGTGGATTTTGAAGTTATACAGAAAAAATCATCCTTGAGGTGTCCTGTTTAAAGGGGCGTAGCTCCTTTAGGAAACATTTCCGGAATTTTCTGCTCATTTTTATGCAAGGAATACGCCCCTGTAAGGATGCTGATGCTTACTTTCGAATTTCCTTGTGTACAGAATTAGCAAGTTATGAGTATTTTCCTTACATGGAACCATATTTCATTTATCTATAATGATGGACTTAAGTGTTCGAATCATGTCCCATAATAACATAAATTATTGTTATTACTTATCGATAAACTTTGTGAGAACGACATTTTATCATTGTCCTGAATCATTCACTCCACTTAGGATAAACTAGGTTCCCTTGATGTGAATTGACGTATTTGTCATCCTAACAGGGTACGGACAGATCCTCGTCTTCTCTCACTCTAAAGTGTTTGTGAAACAGTTATATAGTTCCATCTTTATTCATTCCTGGGGATAAACACTAACTAGATTTCTGACATTTGTTGTTTCTTAGGTTATATTGAGGACATTGGCGTATCATACGTAATTTCCAAATGTAGTTTCTCATTTAACTCTACATATTATATCCAAATGATGATGATAATTTTCGAGTTCTTGTTTTTTCAACTCCAGCCTATATACTTTGTGAGGCAGAGAACAAATTTTTCTGAAAGTTTAATACGGTGAAACATTTTATGTAGCTATTCAAACTAATGTGCTCATATGTTATGTGTGCTGTATATATTCATGTTGGGAATCATTTTTGAAGTCTTTCACGAACACTTGATATTTCCTGAAGGTAGGTAGGTATAGTTTTTTAAATGGTAGGGCATATGCATCTTCTTTTAATCCTCCGTTTTAATCAAAACTGTTTCTACTTAAATGCATTCAAACACTTGTGGAGTGGATCATTATATAGGCACAATGAGAAAGTATGAAATGTGATTTCATATTAGTTTCACCTCGAAAATTCTGCTGATGTATTCACCAATTTTCCCCATTTGGTCACTTCACTTTTCATGTTCTAAGTTCATTGGCATTTGACGGCAAGCTGACAAATTCCAATTTGCCATCCAACTGATTGATACAGCATAACTCAGCACATTTTACCATCCCTCCAAAACAGAATTGAATAATGTCGTATTAAGATATAAGAATATGAAATTGAAATTTTGTAAGATCTCTTTGAACGCCTATGAATGTGACGTGACAGCAATGTCATGTCAGGGACGCCAATACACGAAACCAAAGTCACTAGATGATTAAAAGAAAAAGGAGCTATGATCTGTCGGTACCCTGTTAGATGAAAAATACGTCAGTTTTCAGCAGGGGACCCTAGGGTAGACATGGACTTTTACCTAAGACTAGTTCCTAATTTGTTTCAGTTTTCGAGACGATAGCATCGTAGACAGCTATGTTGACTGCGAATGGTCCAGAACCGACATTCTCAGATCCCACACGCTCGATATACCAGAAGATTCCGATCTGATAATAGGTTACTTGTTTACGGTAAGCTGAAATCAATAGTCATTTATTTTATGGGATAATCTGGATTTTTCTTCGTTCTGTCGAAAGGAAAATATCTCGTGAAAAAACCTACGAGTACAAAATTCTCCTCCATTTCTATCTTGAAAACATTGGTTTCCTATGCATGAGAATGAAATTGGAATACTGATTGGTGGACGACAAAAGTATTAATTTTCAAATGGAATTGTTCACTCCATATTTTTACATTGATATGACAATATCGATGCTATCTGTCACTCTTCTCATGCTGTTTTGATGATAGCACATGCATGTATACAGGTTAGCCCAAAAAGGATTCAAGACTTGATTTTTTCAAATGAAAACCTGAATTTTGTTTATACCTATATCTATTTTGAGTTTTGTATCGAAATCTGAGTATTCATTGTACCATATCCTATATCTGAACTTGAGAGATCATAAAAACCACGATTGAACATAAATCATTTTCAAACCGTCCAAAATATTCCATTAGGTGTTCAACCTGATTTTTTCCTGTTTTCGGTACGTCTGAATGTTTAATAGTTGGAGTCCCACTGAAACTGTACAGGGTGTCTTCTTATATTTTTACAACAACCTATACAGCTTCAACTATACGAGGTGGGAACAAATTTCAAACATGGAAGTTGTATGGTTTCATCTGTACTATATCTATCTTTTAGCACTAATAAACAAAAGCAAACCGATAGCACAATAATAAACAAGAGTCCAAATCAATTTTTTCAAATAAAATAAATCTAATAAATATTATATAGTTTGCTGATGTTCCCCTAGGAAATTTTCGACTCAATTCTTGCTGCACTACTATAATTCTTGGAATATATATTCTACATATAATCTCACCATCACGTTTATTCTTTCTATACGGAAAAATCCATTTCCATTGAAAAACCGACAGAGATGTCAAAAAATGCATGTTTTGCTTCCATGGCATTTCTGTTTTGCCCACAGTCATCTGAATGTTATATTGGCATCTTTGATTCAATGCTGAATGAGTGAAAAATGATTTTACTAACGTTGAAAATATACAGGGAGTTTCATTGAAGAAACTGGTTCGGATCTGTGTGTAAGGAGTGCCAAAATATAATACAAATGATGATAAACTAGGTATGTGCAATCGTAATCTTCACGACGATTGTAAGTCGAAGTTAAGATATTAGATATTGTACCTACATATGAAACAAAATTTTAGAAAGGAATTTGAAAGTTTCCTCATGAAAAAATCGAGTTGACGGTCGAATCTTCTTTTTGTGCCACAGAAAAAATGCAACAGGAGATAAAAAAAATTTATGAGCAAAACCAGTCCCTGCATGATACACAATTAGACATTTGCTTCTGGACAGCACTTAAACATACCCTTCTGTTCAGACATTATTTGCAGTTAGGTACTTCTGCAAATAAGATTGATCTAATTGAAACTGTGAATCAGCGATTCAGGTAGAGGTGTACCTAATTGTAAATGTGTTCTTCGAGAATCATTGGAAATATATAGATAGGTAGCATATGAACAACCCATATTAATATTGAATGAAAAAGGATCGTTATTCGAATCATCATTTTATAGGGAGATTTGGAGCAACTATCGATAGTACCAGATCCCAAATTGGTGAGTTTACAATGCGAATCTCTCAAAATACCAATAACCGATCCACAAGTGACAGAAACGATAGGAAGGCTTGAAAAGATCCCCAGCAAATACTATGTGGAAAAGCAGCAAAAGGAAGTGAATGAAAATCAATTAGAAGATTAAGGACGAAGTTTGTTGATCACAATATGTGACTAATTCAAGGGAACACCTTCAGAAGAATAGTTTGACATATTTTATTATATAGATAAGTTACAATTTGGAAAAAAATTATTCAATAGTTCTTTCTATATTTTCCATATTCCTTACATTTTTAATGTTCACTAACTTCTGTTACTTTTCGATTTTCTTCACAGGTGATATTACTACGAGGACTATAATGCTACTGAATATATTACCTCAATAACGAACAGTAAAGATACAGAACTAGATATGTTTATAATATCATCCTGATCTATTTTATTTTCCATATTCTCATCAACAATACAATATTATGTATCTTGTACCTGCAGGACAATAGATCGTTTTGGCACTAGTTATTTGTAACACATTTATAGGATTTATATTCTCTCTAGGTAAAAGACAATAAGTTCTGATATCGTGCTGGTGTATGTGAATCAAAACATTTATAAAATATTTTTAAAACTGTCTATTCAAAATGGTGTAAGAATATTGCTACCTTAGCATCAACATCAAATTCGATAAATATGCGGGATTGTTCGAACACAGCCATCTTTCTTGGTGTTTATTCGTATCCCATATGTTAACATGGCACCAAATTATGTGCTGGTAGCCAGAATAGCAATATTGTTGTACTGGAACATGAATTTTCATAATGTAAATGAAGCAGAATAATTATTCAATAGACTCGCGAAAATCGTTTCGTACCTGTTTCATTTATCCCAATTAATCACACTTCATCACACTTCTTTTCTCCTCTTCCAAGCATATAGCTGTCATCGTCATGATACTCATCGAGACAATATATGCTGGGTATTCACTGTGAAAAACTTGGAAACATGTTGAATTCCAAGATTAAACCTAATAGGTATACCAGTTTTCCATCGCATGAGGGCCCATTCACATTGAGGCAGAAGCAATGGCGTCAACTCCATACTTTGAAGACTTGACTTGATATTATTATTATTGATACTAGGTTGGGATTCGAGGAGCACATTCAGGCCTTGAGGAAAACATATCTTCTGGGTGTTTTGCAGTCAAGTTGTCTCAAAGGAGTTGGGATTGGGTGCTGCTAGAATCGTTCACTATTCCCTAATAGGGTCTCATTTCAGGTATGGCATCCCATTCTGGGGTGCATGTAATGCCAGCTGCATGAACAGTATTCTTGTTTTGAATTTCGACTCCTGTAAGCCTTCATTCATTGAACATAAAATACTCACGATAATAGGAACTTTCGTATCAAAGAAACATCTGAACACGTTTAACAAACTTGCCTTCACACTATGTCACTCGAGAAACTATGAACGTAAGTCTGCCATTTCCTAAATCATTACTGATTGAAGATTCTGTTATTCACTATGGCTGCAAGATGTACAATCATGTCAAATACATTGAAAATTTGAACATTTATATAAAATCTGTGGAAAACTTACTGTAACATAAAGCTATTCCCCCTAGGTCCTCGAGTGTATCATTGGCATTTCTCTCACAGTTGCAGATTTATGAATCCAACCTAAATGATATTGCGGAAGATACGGAGGTTCAACCATGAAAATTGTGATACACTGAATATATTATTGCGAACATTTTTGAAATTATAATGGAAACTGTAGAGTTATATAGATTTATTTGAAATTGGAACGCCTGGGACTATCTAACTGTGCCAAAATGTACGGGGTATTCCATTAGCAAAAATAGAATTGGCTGCCGTATCTTTTCGATGTCCCCTTGTATAAAATTTCTGATGATGCCAATGGAATGTTCGCATTATACTATATGAATGAACGTTCGAAAGTTTTCAATATTCCCCACCATAAAGTACTCAGAAAATTAAAAGGAAATCGGCAATTTTTCAATTTTCCCCTGTATCTCTGGAACGAATGAAGATATCAAAATTCCGAATGCGCCAATAAAGATTTCTTCGAAATCGAACTCGTGACGTCTGTATCGGTTTTTCGAGAACTCTTCCAGTTATAGAGATAGACCGTGAAAACGCCCAATTTCGCCCACCCTGTACAGTCATCTTCAGAAAACATGTCGCACATGGACGATGATAGCATTCTCAATAACTCCAGCAATAATAGCGCTGACACCGTCCAACCGCGACATGATCTCTGAAGACGACTGTACAATTTGATGTCTGATGATGACTTCCGTTGGATCGAAACAATTTTTTTCCTAGTCGATGAGTTGGGACACCCTGTATTTCGACCCTCCCCAATTTTATAGTGTAGTTGTAGAAACAAGTCGAACGAAATATATTAGGTATACATTCTTCATTTCAATTGAATACTTAATAATACATCACGCTGTATGAAAATATTAATAACGTTATCAATATCCAAGGAACAAGTTGACAAAATAAATCCTCAATACCCTTCTAAAGGGCATATTTTATGTTCATTGAAAGAACCATCATCCTTTTTTCAAGTTTTACTGATTCTAGAAATATTTTATATTGGTACTTGGTCACCATGTTTATTTGTATCATCCTGATACTTCACTTTTGATACTGTGTTATTTACGTCCGTTAAATGGAATGTTTAATAAAAAAAATGGGGACTGTTTATCGTATCGATATCGAGAAAAAAATTGTGAATCATTCGATTACAGAACACTGTTCTGAGAACAGTCGAATATATTATCAGTATATCGTTTACTACGAAAGTGTGTGTATGTGTGGTGGAAACTGGCTGTTAGATTATTTGAATTTGAATTTTTTAACATTGAAAAGTGAACCCAAAGTGAGGAGAGGATGCCGGTGAGTTGATATCAATGCTTTTAGATCAAATTCGACACCAATCATTATGGTTTTCATCTCGGTTTTCATATTTTTTGCTTGCCGATCTACAAGAGTTCCGGATCTTATTAAGATTCTGATTTTTAGCTGGAAATTTCAATTTTCTTTCCAAAATTTCGACTTTATTACCAAAGTTCCTACTCTTTCCAAATTTCGGAATTTTATTTGAATGTGAATTTCTAGAACACAACATAGAGTTCAAAAATCTATTGGCTGATAGTAGTAATTCTACAGTGTGTGATCCTATGATGGGATATTTCAAAAATTAAATTTTATTCACTTGACAATTTTTGGTAAAACTGCATTTATCATACGATGTTTTTTTTTTCGAAAATATTTTTTGGTACTTACGTATTTTCGTCCGAAAAACACGATTTTTATAATGGAGATTTTTCGCCTTCTTTCTCCCCTTGTGTTAGCTCTTCGGGGAGAATCTAAAAATGCAATGAAATACAAGGTGTTCCATTTGAAATAACAAAGTTGTTGCTTCATTTCGTTAGAAGCGGCAACGCCGCAGGGCTGAAAATATTTTAGAACGGTGTCCGTCCCCTTCGATAACGTAGTTGACGTGTTTCAGATTTTTTTCATAATCCGGTTTTGCCGACCTACAGAGCCGCTGTTTCGTTTTCAATGGCCCACTGTATTTCTGAATGCAGCTTTCCATAGAGATTCCAAAAATTTAATAATATATGGGGTGTTCATTCGAGAACATTGTCGCGGACGTCATTAGTCTTACGTCGATCACCCTGTATATTTAATTTACCCGTATGAATATGGCAAATTGAGATTGAAAATCGACCTATTTCAGGGAATTCCTCAGATATAGATAGGCCCCACAGTAATATTCCATACATTATATGATTGTGAAATAAACTGTGATATAGGAGGATCAGGGTTTGGCTAAAATTGAATTCATTCCATACTATACGTACAGGGTGATTCACCATAAATGTCCCCCCCTCTAGCTCAGTTATTTTTGAACCAATTGCAAAATCTTAAATATCATCTTCAATGATTTTCGATAGAGTTTTTTTTCGCTACATCAGAAAATACAAGGTGATCGGAACAAACGATCTACAGGGTACTATTCGATTTTTCTGAAAGGAACACCCTATATTTCATTGAATCATTAGATTCTCTCTGAAGAGCTGATTTCATCAATGTATCACACTTGGGGTCTAGCGAAAATGATTGCAGAGATATAAGGTGTTCAAAATCGAGATTTTTCAACTTTAGGATTTTTCTGTGACGAAACTATTCATTACCGGTCAAAACGGCATTCATGTCCGTGTCCCAACTTTCGATTTACTATCTACTGACATTTAATAATTGGAACAGATACAGGGTGATCAGAATTCTGAATCTTGAACCACACTGTAGATGTTCCAATTAAATGTCAGTAAAAGTTAAGATGGGGACATTGAAGCCGTTTTGACCAATAATGAATAGTTTCGACACAAAAAAAATACAAAAGTTGAAAAAGCTCGATTTTGAACACCCTATATCATTTTCGCTAGACCCCCAAGTGTGATACATTGATGAAATCAGCTCTTCAAGGAGAATCTAAAAATACAATGAAATGCAGGGTGTTCCATTTGAAAAAATTAAGTAGTACTCTGTAGATCTTTTGTTCCGAGCACCCTGTATTTTCTGATGCAACAAAAAAAAATTCTAAAAAACCATTTCAGATGATTGTTCAAATTCTTGAATTGGTTAAAAAATAAGTGAGCTAAAGGGGGGGACATTTATGGTGAATTATCCTGTACACACCAATGAACTCATATTGGTACACACTGGATGTTTCTTTCACGAAAAAACTCTGTGTTATGACGTGATTATGACCCTCCATGATTTTCAGTGTAGTTGTAGGATCAAGTCGTACAATTCGAGTGGATTGACAATATGAAATCCCAACTTTCTATTGCAGGGCATGCCTCATTGCGAAAGAACCATTATCATTTTTCAAGTTCTACTGATTTCATAAAATATATATGGGCATGCACCATGTGTATTTGTATCGTCCTGAAAATCATCACAGTTTAGTTGACACCCTGTTATGCCCGATTGAAAGAATGTGGCATAAAAAAGTGAAGATTGTTTACCTATCGTTTCGAGAAAACCGGCATGAAGTTGTGAATCATTCGGTTTGCCTTAGGCAGGAATTTGTGATCAGTTGAACGTTTACTACGCCGTTGTTTGTGTGTGTTTAAAAACTGATTCTTCCATTGTTTCAAAAAATTTGGTTTTTCGAACATCGCAAAGTGTCTCCAATGTGAGGATAGGATGTTGGTGAGTTGATTTCATTGTTTTGAATCAAATGCTATGTTTTTTTTTTCAAATTCAGACATTATCCAATCACAATCTTGATGATTTCAATCACAATAGGGGTCTATTTCAATTCTCTACAAATACATTGAACTGCCACGGGCCTTTCTTTTCTACGGCTATAATACAAAATTGCTCCTGTTTTATTGTGTTCGATACATCAATGAGGTACATAACATACAAAGTTGTGGAATTCGTGGGAACAAAAGCTCTCCAAAATACTTCACCTTGTAGTAAGGATGTCCCGATCGGGCTGTTTTCTCCTATTCTAGCCACAGAGGGTACTTTTTTTTTCAAGCTTTCAAGATTTATTCGAAGATTTGATGATGCAGTACAACAATTTTTATTTTTCGTAGATTTTTTTTCCTCCTGTGAACATGGGCGAAAAACACCTAGGCAACAGGCTGCCTGTTTTGCATTTCTCCCTCATGAAGCATGGGAGGGTTATCATGTTAAAATACATAGCAAATGTCTTATTCTATAAACAAGAACAATCAATGGTGAGGAAAGAGAAGGTGAGTGAAAGATAGAGATGACATTTTTTTTCAGAAAATTTTGAACACAGATGCACTGTG